GTCCACACACTTTATCAGGTTGGTCAACAAGCTATCTTGACTAAAACCGTTGAAACGTTCAATTTAGATGTATATTGTGTCTCCGAAACACACATAAAAGACCCTTCTTCAATCATGTTCCTGCATTCCCCTATTCAACCTCATTCTCACGCTTCACTCTCCGTGTATCAGATGATTTAGCATTCTAAGTTCGTGGTGTTGCTGTTTTTGGGATTGGCTGAGTACCAACTTCTTGGCTGGATTCCAGTCATTAAACGACTGTGCGCTGGACATCCCAATTATTCAGCACGTGTTAACAGCTGCGGAACGAAGCCTCGATGCTTGTTCATCGTATCGTTGTATGCACAGGCCTTTTGCGGTTCGCAAGCAATGAAGGATTAACTGTACAACGATCTTTCGCAATTACTCGAAAGTCCTCAATCAACAGACGTCGTAGTAGTCGCCGGCGACATCAGTACTCAATTGGGATCCCTGGACGAATCAAAAAGGCTTCTTGGCTAACCACATGCATTCCCAGCCTACCGGACGGACAATGGAGATCGTATTCAACCTTACTAGGACCACGGAATGATCTGTCAAGCACCAAATTCTCAAGAAATTACACCGCCTTGCATAAAAACCACCAACGTCTTCACAGCGCTGGAGCCAAATAAATCACATCGCCGTCATTTACCGCTGGAGGGAGTCGATTCAAGACTGCCGCTCTTACTGATTAACACCTGTGGATGTTGAGTCACACTCTCCTAACGCCTGACAAACAAACGCAAAAAGCCACCAACGACGGATACACGCGACACATTGTTAGCGAGTACTGCAAATCGGCCTTTGAAGCGGAACTCTCCGATTGCCTGTCAGTTCACCCACCAGCCGAAGGACTCAATAAACACTGGAAACAAGTCAAGGAAGCTATGCAAATATCGATAAAAACAACGTCGGACCGTGGCGCAGGCTCAAAACACAAACGATGGATCTTGTCGACTTCGGATGCCCTGCTGAACACCCATAGAACTCTTCCTCCTGACGCGAAATATGACACAGCGCGCAAATCCCTCAAACGCCAGCTCACCAAGAGTTTGAGGAATGACCGCGAGAAATGGTGGATAGGCAAGTGTAGACAGATGGAGAAGACAGCGGCTATTGTTAGTCGCAATCTTTTCCACAATGGAATCATTTTGCGACGAGCAAACCAGAACGAAAAAGTTGTTTTTCCCGTTTGGTAACTAGTCATTGGTGTGTAGGTTATGTATTCGTAACCAGGACTCAAATCACGGAAATTCGGGTTCGGAATTTAATCGCTTACCCCAGTGTTCCACTGCCACTAATTGAGCACATGCGCATAGCAATTCCAAAAGTTGCATTTGGGTGAGTCCATTCGTGTTGTCTTTGCAGACATCAGACACTGTGTATGGTTTCAATATAGTGTAATTGTGTTTCATTGCTACAAGTTCATTCATTTGTGCACAAATGTGAAACACATTGGAATATGACCAAGTTAGTGTGCAGTCATGGAAAACGAGCTTTGTGCAACCTTTTCGTCCTTAGTGTGACGCATCAGTAATAATGTAGTTTTATGACACAATTGGGACTCAAATCACTAAATTTATTAGCGAATGGCTATATGAACCTAGAATGGTACAACATACTAGGCATTTAGTCCAATTGATTGCTGAAAAGGAATCCCATGCACATACCACCTGCATTCATCTATGGAACACCAAACCCCGGTTAATCTATATGTCAAAGCCCAAACCCAAATAAATGCATTGAACTTTTGTTTTTCATTGACCGTAGGCCATCAAATCTCTCTGGATCATTTGTTCCCAACATCTTGATCAATAACTTAAGAGTTAAAATGTCACAACACTTCAAATATCTTGGATGTTTCGTGTTTGCTGACCTCAAATGGTCCTATGACATAGAACAAACATTTCTTAAAGTCAGAAAGTTGACCTTTTATATTTCTCGCCTTCGGCACCTGAGGGTGCCATTGTACATCATCTCCAAATTTATTTTCTCATGCGTTTTTTTGCCATTGGACCTACTGCTCTCGGGTTATCTTTCCCGGTCTACTGTCTAAAGATTTCATATTAATTAGACGCTCTCTGAAAAGCGTCTCTAGATCTGGAGCTGTATCGTATGAGTAGCTGGTTGATTCCATTTTCAACAAACAACTGACCGTGTGTGTGACTCCATCTTGTCCGATTCGTCACATCTCCTACACACAGCACTATCTAGCTCCATTTTAACTTCTTTAATCCGCAATAAATCTAAACCATTATATACTCGTACCACTGCTTTTCACAACTCCGTTGTACTTTACCTTTCATGTTTGTTGGTTTCTAGGGAGCAAATATCAAACGAACCTATACACTGTCTAATGTAAATTTTTACCTTGAAATTTTCTTTATTTTTTTGCGCGTTCTCAGTAACTATTTGTCATATCTTTAAGCTCATTTTTAATAGCGCGCATGCCAAATCAAAAAAAAATTCTGTCCGCATTGAATGAATAAAGTTCACTCTTGACTTGACTTGACTAGACTGTTTGTGGTTTCGTACAGGACGCAGGAATATGACGATCGTCAAGTGTATCGTATGTACTTTACAGAACTGCGACAAGTTGACATCAGCCACTGAAGATAAGAAAGACGTTAAAATCAGTACAATCACAGTAAAATGATGACTCGGTTATCAGATTATGCTATTGAATTCGATCCGACGACCGACTAAATAAACTCAATGTTCAACGTACAGTTGCAGTCAACGCAAACGACCGAAACCAACGGGAACACATAACCCAGAGCAAATGCCATTGATATCTCGGAGACAACACCTTGTGCGGAATAACACCATTTTGATATCAGGATTTACGTGAAGAGAAGAGTTGATATTTGGAACTAGTTTGAGATTTGACACAGTTGCCATTATTTAGGAATAGAAAGAATACCCTTTGTCATTTATTATCCTTTATCTACATGAACAGATCAGGACAGGTTGTGAATGATAATGTCACCGATTCGGGAATGTTTTGACTATTTCTTATAGGATTAAGTAGATAACTTGTTAATATCGTTCAGCGGGGCCAGTTTTGAGATCAAGTTAATTGTCGATAGGTTAACTGAGGCTAGACACAAGAGACTAATCGGGAAGTTCATTACAGTCATCTTGGAGGGGGCTGAAACTGTCTGGACTTTGGAATGGGTAACCAATCACTATGTCACCAGCATACATACCGATAGGGAAGTTACGGAGAACCGGGAAATTCTGTTTGTACACAGAAAAAGTGAAACAAATAGCCTCCTGAAAAGCATCAGAATCTATAGTCACAGAACAGCGGACTGTGTTAATAAATGAAGTAAATTACGCCCTACGGGACTAGGAGTCTATTTAAACTCAAATCTACACGTATCAGACCACACTCAGCACAACTTTCCATAACTATTCTTTGGTTAAGAGAACAGCTATTGGCATACTGCGTAGTCGTTGAGGCAGAGATAAGAGAAAAACTTAACCACTATGATGCACGGTGTCCCAATAAAGATAATTGCCCAATCCGTGACTCTCATACGTCTCCGTTGCCTGCCGACTTCGCCTCACGCCGATGAACTGGACACCGGCAGTATTCAGCCCACATGCAGATCATGGACCGTGTTTCTTCCTGATAAAGATTATTATACTATGATTTGTTTGACACAGTTCGGCGTCAGACGTGTGGAATGTATCTGTATATTCTGCTCTTTCATTGCCTGTTTGATTTCTACATCGATACCTGAGATTTCCTCAGAAAATTTTCTGAGATGAAACTGCGTTACCAACTTGATCGATAATATCCTGCCAGCGTTATTGAACTCTGACCGACATTCTGGAATCAGAATTGTGCTTTATCGGTGTAGGGTTTCTCAGATGCGGCTTCTCGGCGAGAGCCAAGTGGTACACTACAGTATTTTAGCGTCAAACTACAGTACGTGGTAGTTGATTATTCTGACTCATTATGATACAAAACAAAACCACCCGCAATATGATATCGGCCCGCTCGATGTTTCATTCATTCACGAACTCAACCAGTGAGAGGTATCATATTCTCTCATTGAAGTTCGCACATTTACTCATGATGAATGATTTCAGCCGCTACTTCTACCGCTTGTACGGCGATTCACACAGTCTACTGAATCACATCCTCTTTACAATCATGAACTAGACTTGCCAGAGAAATCCCTCTTGGAGTTAATATCAACTCCTTCCTTATCACAACACATGGAATAGATACTGTTGGCTGCAAAACCACTGCACCAAGTTGATGTGGCAAGACAGGCCGGCAGAAGAAGACCAGCTGACGCACAAGTTCAAACTTAATCCAAAACTGTTGCACACACATGTAAACGCCTCTCAGAGAGTCAAGCCTGGGGTTCCAACACTACTTTTGGCGGGAAGTGTTTTAGTCACAGCAAAAAATGCAAATGAATTGCTAAAATGTCAACTTGCTCTACTGGTCGCTGTATCTAACGCTGCGCTCGCACAATTTTTTTCAACTAAGGGCTGTTGTAGTGAACCGGTCATCCTCTCGTCACTCTTCTTTCGTTATTGTCAAGGTATTCATTGTGGCTTACTTTGTGATGAGTTATTTGAAAAAAACATTATCCAATGGCACAGCACTTGGATAGGGTGTGATGGCTTGTGCACCTATTTGACCCAACGAGTTACATATGATGAATTTCGTCAAGCCGAAAATCTAATGAGGTTGAGAAGGTCGAAGGGTATAGACAACACAGAGTCCAGGTTGGGGATTCAACTTAAGCGGCTTATCTAAGTCGATAAGATATGATAGAGGTGCAACTAATCCAAGTAAATGAGTCCTACTCTGCCTTATCCACTGTCTTGTGGTTAGATCCTTGTCAAGTCTACTTCCGAATCTGACGGCTTTCAATGCGAGAAGTGTGATACAATTGTGTCAACAAGCATACCATGAACTATTTGGTAATTGATGTCTGCTGCGTATTGTAGAAATGAGTTCAGAATCCTATGTAGTTCTACCAGCCCGTGTAAGTGTCCTGGGTGTGTTCTTGAGGTTTTTGATTGGCACATCATGAGGCAATGAAGCCCGTTCACTGGGTGGAATTGGAATCGTACTGAAGGATAAAACTGAGGTCTCATCGACAGATTAAATACCCTTCAAAATTCATTAATGCGCAGCGAGGGTCCAGACTTCAATTGGAGTTTGGAAGGGGAGCAACACCAAACGGTGTTTGTTGATGATTTTTGCACAGGTATCAAACAGCTGTAGTCGTAATTCACAAAACGACGATTTTTACAGCCAACTCAGCGAACTCACTTGGCTGATCCGCGGCTCTAAAACTGAGTGCACCCAGAGCCTGTCCAGGGGCCCTTTGCTCCGCCTGCCCAACGAAGAGACGACGGCTATCGACTACTTCTGTTCTGCGCAGATCATAAGTCGCTCTTGTCTGGCACCAATTTTCGACACAGCCCTTGATGGAAGGCAACGGGCCCGGTGACTACAATTGACCGCATAGCTGTAAGTTGCCGTTGGCGTGGCTCAGTACAAATTGCAAATTATATTGGACTACCTATGTTGAGCCTGATCACTTGGTGGTTATGGTGCGTAGCAAATCCTGGCTCACAGATTATTATTATTATCAGTTAGTCCATCATCGTCTGCGTTACCTAACTGTTTTCACACCTAGTGAAGATAAGCTTGGACAGGAGTCAGAAGTACCGCGATATGGGGGAGTAGATCAACAGCGGAATCAACTTGAATGAGCAGTGCATTCGGCAGTGAACTTTTCTTGTGGGGTCAAGCCCAAAATTCGTCGAAGAAGTTGGGTCTCTCAGGAGTCACTAGTTCTGGTGAAACAAAAGCGAAACACTTCAATATACCGGGATCAACATTGGAGCCGGTAACGTCTGCGACGTCATCCAGGAAAAGCTTTCAGATAGATCGCGAGAACAGGTAGACCAAAACAACTAGTGAAATCTAATTAACCTATGCATCAAGTAATAGTTAAGTAATGCTTCACCTGATGCTCAGAAATGGAAGTCACTGTATACAGGTCAGAAAAATCGTTATCGGTAAGGGTGGACAATGAAGAACAACAACATGATCGCTAGGAAGAGTGGTTTGGTACGCATATTAACTTGCTTGGTACCAATGCAGTTATTCCAGCGATTGCAGCGGAACCCCGTAGGTTCTAGCATGTAAATCACTGACAAAACACGAAACATGAGGCTATATTCAATCGCTAAAGAAGAGGAGGGCAGCCGGACTTATCCCTATTGTTTTTAAGCTTGAGTTGGCTTTCTCTTGTACTCCATTACCATTTTACTTCAAACGCAACGAATGCGCAAACCACCGTGGGATAAGTTTGGTTCTAATCATCACAAACATGTTAACCTCTATGATACTTCACTTCATGATACCATTAAGGGAGATGAATATTCGCGAACAACAAGCACGATTCCAACCAAGTCGCGGTTGCATCGACAAAATCTTCACCCTACGTTAAGTCTTCGAAATACCCTATACATCGGCAATCAACAATCGCAGTGAAGGAATGCCACAGTAATATGTGAAGCTATTGAAATCACTGTATTTGCATGCTTCTGGAAGCATAAGGGTCTACGGAAGACGAAGCGTATCGTTCGAAACCATCAGCGGTGTTCATCGAGAATGGAGGTTTTAGTCATTTCTGTTCAATTTTGTTGTCAATGTACTTACTAGGTGGTGTCCGAAATGTTGATGTTAAACGAGTAGCTGGAGAAAACCTGTGCGGTTTAGAGTGCGCTGATGATATCGTTTTTCTATTTGAATGCATGGAGCATGCACGAGTTTAGTGATTCTATTTGGTGTTTGCCTTGTACCTTTGAGGTGTAAACTGATGCTGTAAGATTGGGTGTCGCCTACCCCAACTATGCAGCCTAAGGGTCAAGAATTAGTGACATTGGATGGTTGCTCCTACTTAATTCGTTGCGTGACAAATGGTAGCATAGTAAAGCAGGTAATCACCCGCATTTCCAAAGCACAAGCAGCTTACGCATGACTGAAACACTTTTGGTGCCGACGTGGTGTTCCCTTGGGACCTAAGAGGTCGCGTGTACTACGCACTGTGCGTTCAGTTCTCTATTACACTTGCGAGACCCTAAATTTGTATGTGGAAGACATTCGTCATCTAGACTTCTTTGACTGCCAACTTTCACGCCGTTTGGCTCGGGTTGGATAGCGTGAGCATGTAAGCAGTACTGAATCATGCCTCAAGTATTTGGTAATTTGATTCGATAGAGAATTCGTTCTCAGATTAACCGGATTCGTTAATTAAGAGCACGTGTTGCGCATTCCCATCTGGCGTCTACCGCGCAGTGCATTATTTGCAGTTACCGCTCCACATTGGGGGAAATCACGCGGAGAACAACATACAACGTGGAAACTAGGCACGAAGAAATGAATAGTGTTCACGAGGCTCTACAAATATTGGGTTGGAGACACCAAAGAATATAGACAGAAGTAGCGCCCCTGTTTTCAGGTGAGAATGGTTGAAAACGTATGTGTACACAGTTAGGTTGTACATTTACTATAGACGTTCAATCCTTTTGCCTCCCTCCAATCAGGTCCAAACCATGTCCATCTTGTACTTTCTCACTTACTTTTTATGCAATGTGAGCTTGGTGGCGATCAGCAAAGATCACTTTGTTGTATTTCTTTGTAGGATGATGATGATACTGATGATGGTTATCTAGGCTACGGTAAGGTAAACCAATTATGTCTAGAGAATAGGCCCCCAACATTGTATTATCATCTCTGGTTTTAAAAAGGCTTCCTTTGACAAAATCTCTTAATGCCCGTAAGGTGTCACTGGATTCCACATTTGTGTTAACAATTACGGGAGTGTTTGAGGCAAAGAAAACTAATGAAAGAAATGGTGCAATCCTACCAAAAATTTCATTTCACGGTTTTATCCCTGTTTACTTAGCATGATCAGTGCAGAAGAAATTGAGTAATAGTAAGAGTTTCACTACTAACTAAATGTTCATGTGTACGGCCCTAAGATGTATTTAAGTTGAAACAGAATATAACTCTCAGGTCTATAAATGTGCATGTACAAAACAAGATAATTTTTAATTTAAGAATGTCATCCATTATAGAGATTCTATTTGAACCAATGACTTTTACAATTATTTCATATATATATACATATTGTGAAGTGTTCACAACTCCTTATTATTACACAATGCAAACTCCATAAGACGCATGCATGCTTTCCCTGCTACTGTAAAATATGTCACTTTGTACACCATAATGAACACACGGTTAAGCAACATTCTCAATAATCGGACGCAATATTTTGATTAACTCATTTAGACTAATGGATTCGTTCAAAAAACGTCAAACTTCATCGCCCTTCCTTTATCACTCCAAGCACGGCGTAGGATGAGTTTTAGGAATTACTTATTCTTGTTTGATAAAACGAGGACGGCGTAAGCCCCAAAATCATGAGGACTCGCTGTCCATTCGTATCCATTCATGTAAACCGGCAATCTAAGCTCAGGTACTTTGGAATGGTGAGCTACAAGAGGCCATGTCAAATTACGTGCGGTATTGAACTGGGGAACATTTAAGCTACCTACCACCAAAGTTGAGTAGCAGTGGCGGGGTTCAAATCTCGGCCCATTGTATCATGGTTGTTTATGAAATTTTTAAATTTTAACAAATATTACAGATATATTTTGTTTTGGTGTTTATGGCAATACTTTATTGCACGACTTCGGATATATTACTCAAATCTCAAAGCCCTTCGATTTTACGAATTTCAGAAAATTTTCCGTGATTATCTCATCAAGAATGAGAAGCAAATCAATTCACATCACTCATGCGAAGCAATTGCTTTTGATATATCCAGCACTCCTGGGTGAGTTGTTGTTCCGGTTGGTGTTTTTATGATAATATCTGTTGTAAACGCATATCGTTTTGAATGAACCGATTCGTGCAGTCTTAAGTGCAATATTCAATAAATGGAGTTAAATCAGTACGACCTACCAGATACTTTACTCGGTTAATTCACATTTTCAGTGCTCCCTATGGATTCAGATATTTAATAGTCATAAATCAGCACAGTCTATTCGCGTCACTCTTATTCTTGGAATGTTTTTGAAATACAAAGTGAAAAGCCCCAACTAATTGATCATCTTCGTGATTCAAATAAAGCAGTTTGGAATCAGAGCTATAAGCGTGCTAGCTGACAAAATGTTCTCAACCGCAGAGCCTTTAAAGATGACTGTGCCTTCGCTGATCGGCCTCCCCAGTTAGTCACAGGTCTCGGATCTTGTTTACATATTCATCCTAAGCAGTCGTTTTAACACTTGTGTGAAATCGTCCGGGAATCCTGGTTGAATTAATGTGTTGATAAACCCAGTGTCCTGGTCTTGGGTGTCACCAATCATATTATTGATCTGGTTTTATAAATTTAAACAGTCATAAGCACATAACAGTGAGAACGAAAAACAACTGCTCGCATAACAGTCCTAGATTCTATATAATGTTTCTCACGTGTCACGCTTTGAGACTTTTTGGGTTGTGATTAAGAGAGCAATGAACGCTTCGTTACTGTGTTTGCTTCTTTCTTTTCCTTAGTAAACACATAAACATACAGACAATTGTCAGCAATGAGAAAACTACCAACCAAAGGACAGTCATAAACAAAAAGCGGAAAAGTTAGGCGGTGGTGATGAACTTTTAACACACGTTCTCTGGGTCGATCAGTTGGTTACCTTTACCGCCTTACCACCACCGCTCACTTCGAATGGGTATCACTCAAAATTTTTCAAGATTCTTTGTACTCCAACCTGCATTCAGGACGTGTATACACATGCGAGCTAGATTGCGAGAACTTCTTTAATTCTATTCACCAAGTCACGGATTAGTATCCACGAGATTTCTTCTAGCCTTGCCTCGCGCGCGTGAACAAGCCGCCTAAGAGCTACCAATGAGATAACTTTATCAAAGTATGTGTCCACCACGGACAATGGAACTGTATGTTAATTTTCAATGGAGGGATACCAGGGTCTAACACAGTATGGCACATTTGTTCATTACTTCTGAATGCTCGTGGTAGGGCGAAATAAAGCAAATACTCGAGCGAATGAGTAGCCGGCTGACTGACTTATGTGTTGATTCCGTCAAACGTGGGCAGTTTTGCGAAGGCAGGGGTTATCAAACACTTTTAAGTACCTTTAGAAGGAACTGGCTAGATTTCTGATCTGTATGTTAAACTGCCCGTTCTATGGAGCTACACAATCGGACCTTCAGAGAAAAGTTAGTGTTTTTTTTATTACACACAAATGTGTGATGAACAGAAGACGGGGTGGACCCCATAGTCACGAAGACCTGCTGTTCAGTGATGGAAACCGTTAATCTTAGTCTCGGGACCGGGAGTGGCGAACTAAGGTCCCGCTCGATTAGGGTTTTAACCCTGCATCTCAGATACCGCAACAAAGAAGTCAGTTAGACCTTCCCAACTTTACTAAACTCCTCCCTAGCCACCTTTTCACTAGGTGTGAGAAAACAACAGAGGTAAACAAAGTAAGTTACAATTTCTAGGCGATCATCAACTGTGGTGAGAACAGGTGCAAGTCTTTTCGTCTAATATGGACAATTGCATTAAAACAACACATGTAGTGTTAAGGTGTTTATCAGTTAATCCTGGTTCAGCAAATTCGACTTTATTTCCATAATTATCCTACTTCACTTACTGTTTAAGTGTCCAATCAAGAACGGTTATGTCATCCCATAGGGAATTTTCACTAGTTTGTACGTTTCTGATTACTGCTAGTCATAACCTAATGTATCAGATTGTACGTACTTTTTCTCGTTTTCCGATTGGATAGTACCCTGCATTTAGCCGATAGAGATCTCAATGCAGTCAACACGAATCCAACCAGAGATTTTGTTTTCACGGGTGTTTATTATTCTCAGATCATGGGTAATCTGTTTTGGATAGAGTATCCACCAACAAACCCAACCTTTTTGCCCTGGCTCAAGACTTCCTTTCCTGCAGCAACTATTGTATCCTGGTTTTTAGATAAAAGATACACTTACATTCTTCCCGTAACTCATATGTGCAGTCCAATAAAATAGAGTTCAATCCACGTGATTCACTGCTCAGTGGAGACCTACTATTGTCGGTTTATGGTTTTCTTTCGTGATTTGGTCACTTCATCTGTACTATTCGCCTATCAGGAGCCTCAATTCTATCTTGATATTTTTATCCAAGTAATTTGCAAGCATTTATGAATAGTTTGAGTGCTGGTGTAGCTACAGAACTGGGTTGGTCCAGTTCTCAATCTCACTCTTAATGGAGAAATAATAGACAGCAACCAAAACCGGTGCGCGAAAGTGCATGGTTAATGGTTGTAAAAACTGAACTCAACTAGTGAACCCGCAAAGCTGTGACTTCTTCCGTTCACCTCATCAGTAATTCTTCATATGAAAAAGTGACGTCCTTCAGTATTTTATCTCTGGAGTTCCTCCCACTTTTGACGCCATTCCGAAATACAGATCCTGCACTATTTGGCTGTCGAAAACGCTCTAACTAAAAGACAGAAGTACAACAAAACATGCAGGATTTATTCTAATCCCATGGTTAATAACTTTGAAGTCAAACATATTTACATGTTGCTTTCATTAATACTATTCTTTTCATCCCCCTTCCTTAGGTTTTTATACGATAGATAGATTTCGTTTTGTGCTAGTCCATCTGCAATGCTAGTGGTCATAATAAACTTTGTGAAAAATTGCCAAATATCGTGGTATTTCCTGCTCACTCTTTTCTTGTTGTGAGTGCATTAAAGTGTTTCAAGTTTATCATAACCTGTTAACGACAACCATTCTCCATGGTCATTGTGAACATTAATAACACCTCTAACGCGCTGGAGACGATTCCACTCCAATGGACTTCACACATTCAGTTATACACTGAGCAACCGCGATGGTTGTGATTTCACAATCCTAATCTCAAACACTTTAGGATGACCTAATCAGTGGTTATGGCATATGTGTAGTAGTGTCCTTTAGATGAGCGTAAGACTTATCGGAGGTGTAATTTGGGACAACTTCTGAAGCATAATGAAGGCAAGAGGGGTTTATACAATTATAGAAAAATGCAATTAAGCGCCATCTTTGGCGCCGAAACGACATATCGTTTTCACACACGCAAGCATATATATATATCAATGGATTGCGAACAAGCATGGTGCCCAAACAACTGAAAATAAAATAGATCAAAGGGATTCATTCATGAAGAATTAGAAATAATAGCAAACGGAGATAAAATTATCCTTGCTAATCAATCGACCCAACTGAGGATTGAATATGATTGGATTGTTTTGCCTCATCCGTGCAATGCCCTGCATTACCCTTTTTGCAAGCTCGTTGGAAACATCTGACCGGGTTCTTATTACCATCAAAATTCAGATCTTATGTGTGACTGTTGCAACATTCAAAGCTTGATTTGATTGTTTTCTTTACTCTGTATAAGACGAACCGCATCGCGCAATCAGTATGCACTCTATAATACCAATTTGTAATATTGTATTCCTTCTACTGTATCAGTGTATTACTGTTATTATCATCATCATTATCATTATTAATAATGGATCACTGTATTAGATACATTCGAAGTGTGTCTATGTTTTGTGACGCTGTACATCCCATTACAAGTTTCTCGGTTATTGCCTTTGTATGTGTAAATTTGCGCGCTCAGTAACTATTGCCATATGGAAGCGATCACTGGTTAAAAAATCATGTGAAACGCATGAGTACTCGTTTCACCCGCTATAGGTTTTCCAGCGAGGTGAACTTAATGGTTTGTCCAATGTATATCGTATGGTTTCCCGGTCATCCTTGTAATTGTTAAAAGCGCAATTGAGATAGATTTGTATGAATTATATATAGCCCCGGATTTAAAAACTGTATGTCCTAGTACTACAAATATTTTTCACAAAGGTGTGTACCTTATGATAGAAATGTTTTCGATAACCTATAAGGAGCACTGGAAAGCTGTTTTGACTTGTTTAGGACTCGTCAGCAGTGCGTACTTTCTGTGTCTTTGTCAGGACTCGAACCGCGAACATTCGGGTTGGGATTTCACACCCTAACCCCTGAGCTACAAGATCGACGGTCATCACGTTGTGCATGAAATGCATGAAATTGTGGGAAATTAACGATCTCCCAAAGAGTAAAACCCACACCCAAGAACATCAAGAGTGCCTGGTGCATCTTAGCAATCAAATAGGTTAATTCAAGCTTGCTACTCTAAAATGTGTACCGTATATTTTAATTTGTGAATAAAAGATATAAGCTTCGTAAGCACTTCCATCTTATATAGCTACTTCCATTCTGTGGAGGTGAATCTATCATCGGTATTTGCCATAAATTTTATCCTGGATTAGTTCGCTCCAAAACGCAGTTTCAATTTTCGGATTAACTGAAATAACCGTTTTGCAATAGAATAAGACTGATGTGCTATAACTTTTTTGCTGCATCCCATTTCATCCGTGATGACCAAATTTCTAAGTTCTTCAAATGAAAGTTTTAGTTTGTTACATATGAAAGGAGAAAGTAACATATTGTTTGACAGAGAGATGTTTCCATGACGGGTGATAACTGTATTGGCAAAATGTAACATTTTGGTGTTTGAACCTTTGTGACATTCTGAGTACCGTTTTGTTATACAGTTGGCGTTCTGTTTTTTTTCAGTGTATTTTGAGTGATCAACAATATCTGAGTTCATTCGGATGCGATGTTTATTCTAGCGAATATACAAAGATCCATGTTCTGCCACGTGACACTGTAATCGGTCAAGGATTGGTTTTGAAACTCCATTGCATTACTGTTAAAACGCATGAAATTTATAATTATACAGAGACAGTTGAGGGTTACTTACAGGTTGGCAATGGAACACGTTCAATTGCAAGAAAGAATACACAAATTTTCGTTTCTGCTGATATAACAAGTCTTGTCTGAATCTTGAATCTCGTTGGGCGTTGGTGGCCAAGCGGTTAGGTCACCCAGGTGTGACACGGGATTCCCGGCTTCGAACCGCTCCATCGCCGCCGGTCCTCCCTATTTCTGTATTTCTCCAGGTAGCCTTTGTATGGCCACAGCCCTCCTTCCTGAAAGTTGGCTGTACATTGGCATATTCAATAAATAAAAAAGGAAGTAAAAAGATATTGAAATATTATTATTTATTTATGTCAACATGCTTTGCCCAAATTATTGTTATTTTATGCATCATGGGCAATTCACATTTCAGCTATGATCTTCATTCAAGTAAAAGCCCCGACTGTCACGCAAGATATCTGCTGTAATGACATTTCTTTCCGATGCTCTCAGTCATTTTATGTGAATTAGGAATAAGCATTTTGAAAAGCACTCAAACGCGGATTTCACGCAATTTGTTCAAGTTGTAGAACAATAAAATAATCAAAACATTTCATTTAGTCCCCAGGTCTAAATGAAAAAAAACAGTATGGGGTTATTTGTAGTCGATACATGTGTATTTGGCTAGATAGGAGAATTGAAAATATGCCCAAGACACAAACAGATAGAAAGGAAGAATTCAAACCTAAGGGATTATGCAGTTAGGAAGTTAACAAAACATTGAAATAATACCGAGAACCTGGAAATCTCTAAACGATTTGGATTGTAAATGCAGAATACAATGATAAACAAGTAGGAATTCCAGTGAGTGAATAAGGCAAATAGAAAGCCTGATTGGAAGTTGAATGTGGGAGATGAATGGAAAAAAATAGAACTCGATGAGCAGTTAGGTGTGCAATATCTTCATGGTGGGAAAAGCACAACTCTATCCTGTGTCTAAATGTTTGTCATAAAATTGATAAATAGTCGACGTTTTGGATATTGTGAATATTCCTTCACAAATCAGGCTTTAATTTGGATCCTACCGGCTTATTTCTAGCTTTCCGAAAATGCTGTCATTAAATATCAAGCATTTACACACACACACACACACACACACACACACACACACACACACACATTTACAGCATTTCACGTAGTACATCAATTTTCCGATCCACCTCGAATCGAACTGTGTTCTGATACAGCGTTATCACTCTCGGTTTCCGCACTCACAATTGTGTTGGTTTTGCATTTATTTACGGTTTCCACAATGTCCACTTGACACGATTGGTTGGGTTGATTGGAATTTCAAAGTGTATCCTCAGGGTGTTTTTTTAATCCTGCAGACAACAATGTGATGTCAATGCGTGGACGTCCAATACATAATTTGAGCAGCTAGTGTAATGTGTTCGAAGATCCAAAATACCGTATGCCGCAGCTCCCTCAATGGGAACACGTTCGGCGATACTGTGTATGCGATTGACTGTTCTTTTGCAGTTTCCTTGGATCAACCTCGTGTAATCATCAGTGTTGTAGGTTTAACAGGGGAAAACACTTCTAGGTAACAAACAGTAGAGCAGTTCTTTCGTCCCTCGGTTCGCAATATTTTTTTTCTGTGCAATAAGCAGGGAAATCAGTGTCCAGTGATATTTTGAAGCGTTGTTATATATATTTGTTAAATTAATTTGACTGGGAAAAAGTACCCAGCAGTGTTTGGGATGATAGACAGAGGAGGACTAGTGCCCTTCCCGGAGCTCATTGATTATGTGCTGTCTTTAGCTGTAGTTGAACTGAATCCGGGGTATTTTCATTTCACCCAATCGAATAACGCTAAGCCAGCTGACTATTGCACTGATGATTTGTCTCATGTTATTAAATTTTCTTTTGATTTTATCAGAGCTCTGGCTCAACAAAATTGCCGCTTACCTTGATCATTCATTGGTTTGAGTCGTACAGTGAAACTGTGTGCTCAAATAGCCGCTGGATCTCCTTCTTCTGCTAATGTTAACCATGTGTCTTTTTCATGGAATAAATATTAATCATACTGTCCAACTAGAAATATGGCAAAAAGGGTTTCCAAATTTATCATATTTTTCTCCCATATCTTACAATAGTATTGAGATTGATCGTGTTTCACAGAGTTTGCGAAATAGTTTAATCTGTTACATTTATTTTCCCAGTTCTTTTCAGCTACACTCCCTACGTGTCTGCCATACCAGTGAACGAGTTCAATGCAGTTCAGAATAATTTGGTAGAGCAAAATGTGCCCCAAACACCTAATGTAATGGAGGACAAAGAAAATGCAAAGTTACCAGAGAAAAATGACACAGATCTCAAAATACAGGCTGACAATACGCAAAAGTCTAATTTAACACAAGATGCCGTTGCTAATCAGTCATCGCCGGATAACATCCGGCACGAGGGAAATCTACTAAATAATTTATCCCAGAAAGACGTACTCGCTGACAAGCCTGTTCAACAAAATCCGGGAAATTCACAACAAGCACAAGAAAAAGTTTTTCCCTCGCTGTCGGTACCAAATATGAATGATACTGATGAAACATCGAATAAAAATAGTGCGAACTCCAGCGCAAAGCCGGATCCTAATCAGAGGAACGATACAAATAATCAGATGCCCGACCGAAATTTGGCGAAGCCAGAAGAGTCGCAAAAGCCGGTCATTGAAAGTCCTGTAAACCCTAACATACAACCGGACCCTAATCAGAGGAACGATACAAATAATCAGGTGGCCGCCCCGAAGCCCGTTGAAGCACAGAAGCAGACGATTGAAAGTCCTGTGAAAGAGCACCCAGATGACGATAAAAAACTTCCAGCAGATGCAGATTCCAAGGAACCCGATCCGAGGAATCAGTCAGAACGCGAAGAGTCCGAAGAAGAATCAAAATCTGTTTCAAACGACACTAATTTGGACAGTAAAGGTGTTTCACAAAATGAAAAAGAAAATGCCAAAGTCCGTGACAATTTGGTTGCAAACAAAGAGGAGAATGAAGAAGAATCCGACTCGTTTATCCCAAACAGTAACAACGATAAAAAACAAGTATCCGTTTACGAACCAAAAGATATACAGAGTTATTGGAATTCGGTGAAAGACAGATTTCACAAATCCCCGACCGGAAAACAAACATTGAAATTCCACTCACATGGTAGGTGTTTATACTCTCAAACTTTTTTCCCGGTCATGTCATCGTTTTTTCCAAACTATTATAGTCACACTAAAAGTGCATTATTTTAGTCAGGAGAAGTTTAGTTCATATAACCGTTTCTTATTTTACTCTCCACTGTTCCCCTCCACTCACTGTCTGTTTTGCGAATATTGTATGCTGAGAAAGTCTATTTGGTGGGATGCCCAACACCTGTCCGAGTCATTTTGATCGATGCAAATCAAGCACTTAAGTCGGAGAGTGACGGTCATTCTCTAAAACTCTGCACCTAGCCTCGACATTGGTTGTTTAAGCAATACGACCTAGATAGTCGGGATCTGGTACGGACATTCTACATTTTTCCTTTCTCATAACGGTGTGCAGCCAAATGAACTCATCGGGGGGACGACTGTACCGTACACAATTACCCGTTTAATGATAGTGGGATGTTTTGGACAGTGGTGTTGATGTCACCGATTGGCCAGAGACAGTTGAACCTTTAGTGTACGCTACTCGTATGCCCGGTGAGATATAACTGTCTAGTTATATTGTGGTTGGATAAATTAACAACCGAATTCGCTAATAAAACTTTCTACTATGAAAGCAGTAAGTGCGTACCACGTGTTGGAGGGTCTATTTGCGTTATGTATAGTATTTTTTCACATAACTAGTGGTCCGATTCACCAAATGTCAGTGAATACAGACGGCAGCAGTTGTTGCGCAGAATACTCAGGACTGCGCTGGCTATTGCATTCAGCGGTATGGGCTACTTCCCAGATATCCCAAACTTTGTGTATTTCTTTCTCTCCTATGCCCAATCCTATCCTGATTCTGACACCTCATAAGCATCTGGATTTGGGTTCCTTAAACTTGGGGGCTCTTGTGCTAGGGGGTTCCCAGGCTTGTCTGCTGCGTATTATGTAATCTTCAGGAATTTATGTCTGCTGCACATTGGAGACGCGATTTCAGAATCGTATTGGTAAAGGTCAGTCAAGTGCACCGAATGCTTCCTCGAGGTACTTCCTCCCTAAATAGGCGACGTCGGAGTCTGTTCCGCAGGTCAGAGTAGTGTTGTAGTACTAGATAGTAGAGATGCAACCCCACTCACCGATTGGTTCCCCGTCAACCGTCGTTTCTATATGATCCGGCTGCAGAGGTCAATAAGTGTCCGAAAGTAACACTGAAAGTTGCGTGGTTATCGTGTACTCCGACCGACTACAATCCCGGTGACTACCAGGAATAATTCTATGAAAAACTCATCGAACTGATTCAGTTAAACCGACGCTTCGATATACTAATGCTAGTGGTTGATTTTGCCGAGTAGGTTAAAAAATTGAACGCAGTGAATGGTTTCTTATGAGGTTATTTTGGTTTGTGCTATCAATGAATAAATAACGACGGCTTACTTATTCATTTATGCTCCAACTACTACCTGTTTCTGTTCAGTACTAACTTCTGGCAGCTCTCATCGGATGGTAACAAGGTGCTGGGATCTAATGGGCAAATCAGCTCAATTCGACTACACAGCATTGAGTTACCATTGGAGTACCTCGGTACGAAATCGCAGATTCTATTAGACTAATTGTGTTGAGTAGAACTAATTGTTAGCCTTGATGCACTTCAAAATTCGGCTCCCTGCTCACTGACAAAACCATCGAATTAGCCCATCATCGCTTATCCGATCCAGCCGTTTGTGTCTGCTATGAAGAATAGTTGAGACATGACCTAATAGCTCCGCAATATTACAGTGTTAATGACCAATTGTATCAGATTGGACTTGCAGTGCATCTTCCAGCGAACGTCGCTGGCGAATCTGAGCCCCAAGCCTGTCTATGGCTTGGGATTTTTCATAAATCAGTAGTTCTGAGAGAAAAGTAGGGACAAATCTCGGTCGTCTAGAACGAAAATAGTGTTAGGTAGCATTTGCAACTTCAGTTCATGAGTTACCACAGAAAGGACTGTAAAAATCAGTGAGTAAACGGCTAGTAGCAGTTTAAGGGAATAAACAAAGCTGTTTTGCTTGATAAGTAGCAACAGTGGTCACGGAACACCAGTTAATGGAACAGTCTGCGATAAAATTTGTCAACCTGCTCACAATAAGAAACAACGGCTTAACTGTTGGGTGCAGTCTTTCTAGATGCACAGTTTCGCCTGCTTGACCCTAGCCAGATAACCTCGTTTGTTCCAACTGAACCATCGCAGACAGTGTCATGTAATCGTCCTACTGAAGTAAAAGTATATTTTGAAATTACAGCTCCGACAAGAGAATTGTCAGCTGAACCTGACGAGCTTCCCTCCACTCTTTTCAAGATGGCGGGTGATGAACTCCTGGGTTCTACCACTGGACTGATGCATCACATCTGATCGTAGGAGCACCTTCCATCATTTTAGGGTGAGAACTCATCTCACAACGACTGTGTAAAACCGCCGTGGTATACTTTTGGCCTTTGTCGCCAACAAAATATTAACCTCTGACCTATTTCGACTTCTGAAGCTTTTTATGAGAACCCAATATCCGTGAACAAGTTCACGCGTTCAAGTCCTCCAGTTGCGTCTCATGCACTACTGACCCACCGCGAGGCTCTTTGGTTTGATTCTTTGTTAAACTACATCGCGGAAGTACGTTAACTTACTGTACTTGCATACTTCTGTTCGAATAAGGACCTGTAGGAAATAAAATAGCTTGCTATTTAAAAGCAGTAGTGTTCGTTAATAGTGGCACATTTCATCATTCATTAGTTCCATTGCTAAGGTATCTTGAATAGAAAAGACAAATCTTTGGTCTTGATGTGGTGTTTTATTATACTAGAAAGTTGTGTATGCTGTGTCAGCGTTCGGTCAGTTATGCTTGGAGTTTCTGAACCCTTGAATGTACTTGTGGAAGAAATTATCCGGTTGGGGATTTTGACGGTCGATACTTACGCAGATAAGTAAGCGGGCTAGTAATCTCGAAGTAAACCGTCAAATTTTTGAGAATTTTTCGTGAAAAATTATTTAACCCATTAGATTACGATAATTAAGCTTCGCTGGTTTGGACATGCATTCTGCACGTTTATCTGTCATTTAACGCATCACGCTCCGTTTGCAGTTACTTCTCCGCACTGGAGAAGTTTTATGGAGGTCAACAGAGTATAGGGAGACGGGCATGAAGAAGTGCACAGGACGACTAGAGGTGGAGTAGACGTCCTTCGGCTACCAAATTGAGGTCCAAAAGACTTCGTAACTAGTTGACCAGAGATGCTGGAAGATATGAAGAGGTATCGACATAATTGGTATTCTTGTAGTCATTTTTATCAGGTCAAAATACTTGAAAAGGTGTGTACCGACAACTAGATTCTGCACCCTTCATGCTGGCCATACGGATTTGCCATCATTTCCATTCTTTCAAAACCGAAGCTCTCCCCATCCACCTAAGTTATTCGTACATTCTTTGTGTCTATTGTGGGTTTGCTAGCGCCCTGTGAAATTCGTTTCTTTTTATTTTTCTGTTGAGTGACAAACTGAGAAGCACTCTACAGGTGTTTCAACCTTAATAGGTCTCATCAGCAGTAGGAACCCATCGACCTAGCTGAGGATAAAACCTCGGACGTCACACAAAGTGTAGATATACACAATATCATCCAACATATCTTACCTTATCCATTTAACTCTTGAATACTAAGGGTTATAGTCGAAATTAAAAAAAAATCAAACATTGATAGTTTTTTCTTTTAACCGTCCATTGTTGCTTTTCGATGTTCAATCCGTAACACATACAGAGATACTTTTGTAAATTATTTATAGTCCAAACAGTGTTCGAAGCTACAGCTGATAACACTCTGATATAGGTAGAATTTTAACTGAAATCAGCTTAAGAACACTTACGGGATACTTTTTGATTGTCGTGTTAGATTTGGACTGTTACATGCCCTTTTTGTTATCTGGTTATTCAGAGGTGAATAATCCTTGCCCCGCCCCCCGCTTCAGTGATTCTGGAGAACG